CAGGCTCTGTTCTAAATTTTTTACATATATTATTTTGTTTATTCCTCACATCAATTCTGTGAAGTAGGTATTATTATCCCCACTTTATAGTTGAGGATACTAAAGCATAGGGAAATTAAATAACTTGGTCAGGGTCATCCAGTTCTTAAGGAATGGAATGAGATTTTTAACTTTTCCCCCAACTTACTTGCCTTGTAATTCCTTGATTCTTGAGATGAGTTCGGGCATATTTCTTCTTCCTCATTACTTTCTCCAGGCCTCTTTTTCCACATCATCTTTGAACTTCCTCATTTACACCACCCTGTCTTACTGTATTCTCTGATGAATTTCCAGCAGTCCATTTCTTCTTCCTTGATGATTACAATTTCTGGCTCACAGTCTTCTCTATCCAGTCTGCCTCTGTATCCTGATTTAATGCCACCTTTAACTCGAGTTCTTTCTTGTATTTTTCAACTTTATATATCCACAGGCATGGTCAGGCCCTACTTTTATCACTGGGAATTGTTTTGCCTTTATCATGAACTCTGAATTTCTGCTTTCTGACTTCTGAACAATTCACTTATATATAACTCTTACATGCTAGTGAAGAATTCAGTCCTTTTTAACGTTTCGTGTGCATAGGAATCACCTGGAAAACCTTATCCAGAAGCCTGGGTCACACCCCTAGAGATTCTAATTCAGCTGGTGAGGGTTGATGCCCCCATGAATTTGCATTTCTATCACCTTTCCTGCAAATGCTGAGGCAGGTAGGTCTGTGGAGGTACATTTTGAGAAGGATTGCTCTAATTAATACTTTGCCCCAGAGGATCAGTAAAACTTTCTAATCTGCCTAAAGCCTCCATTCATATTCTTTCTTTCTTTACTTTTTTGATGACTTCTGTAATTACTGAGACAAAGGCCTTCTGATGAGAACTCTGTCGTATTTTATTTTCTTGAAATAAGAGTTTTTCTATTTACTCTTTTCATATTCTTCTCTTCTACTTAGTCCCTTTGTCTCACTTTCTCCAGTTGACTTTTGGCTCCTTCTTTACCATTAACATTTTTGTGTCTTGGGTTAGTAGTTTCCCCTTCTATAGTGAATTGACTTTTTTCTATCAGCCTTCAGTAATATTTCCTCAAAATATCATTCCCTCCCATCTTCCCTCCTTCAGCCTGTTTTGGAAGAAAAGTTATGGCTTTTAACTTCTTCACTAGCTATATCTTAATTTCTTGCAGTCTGCTTTGGTTTCCAAAATTTTACTGGACTCTTGGACTGACAGATCAAATGATTTCTAGGTGGTTTTGTTTTGTTTTGAGACAGGGTCTCACTCTGTTGCCTAGGCTGGAGTGCAATCTGTCTCCTAGATTCAAGCAGTTCTCCTGACTCAGCCTCCCGAGTAGCTGGGATTACAGGCACACACCACTACGCCCAGCTAATTTTTGTATTTTTAGTAGAGATGGGGTTTCAGCACGTTGGCCAGGCTGGTCTGGAACTCCTGCCCTCAAGTGATCCACCCCGCCTCGGCCTCCCAAAGTGCTGGGATTACAGGTGTGAGCCACCGCGCCCACCCTGGTGTGTTGTGTTTTGTTTTGTTTTTGAGACAGAGTCTTGCTCTGTCACACACACTGGAGTGCAGTGGCACGATCATGGCTCACGGCAGTCTCTCCTGGGCTCAAGTGATCCTCCCACCTCAGCCCCCTGAATAGCTGGGAGTACCAGTGGGTGCAACCTCGCTCAGCTATTTTTTAATTTTTTGTAGAGACAGGCTTCTCTGTGTTGCCCATGCTGGTCTTACACTCCTGGGCTCAAGCAGTCCTCCCACCTCTGCCTCCCAAAGTTCTGGGATTGTAAGCATGAGCCACTGTACCTGGCCAACTGCTAGGTCTTAAATGCATAGTCTCCCCCAGACTTGCTATATTTGATACTGTCATTTTTCTTTTAAACGTTTTCTGCCTTTGCTTTTCACTCACTGCTTTTTTAAGGTCTCACTATTCTAACTACTTCAGTTCTTGTTCACATAGTACTTTAATCTGTACTGCTTTTTCTAAAGTTTGTGATACTTTTCCCACCATCTAAATCTATGCTGTCCATTATGGGAACCACTAACTGCATGTACCTTTTGAGTACTTGAAATATCATCAGGTTAAACTGAAATATTCTGTCAGCATAAAATGCACACTGGATTTTTAATACTTAGGCTGAAAAAGAGAATGTAAAATAGCTTACCAAATTTTTTAATTACATGTTGGTAATACTTTGGATATATTGGGTTAAGTAAAATAAAATGCTAAAATTAATTTGACTTGTTTCTCTTTACTTGAGATATGACTACTACTTCTGTGGCTTGGCTATATTTCTGTTAGATAATATTAATCTAAATCTCATATTTCCTTAAGACCGGGATCAGTTTTCTGATCAGCCTTCTTAAACATTTGGTACAAAGTAACAGCCTTCTTAAACATTTGGTTCTCACCCCCTCTCACCCTACCATCCTTCCCAATATACTTAGCTTCTTCAAAGCAAGAGTAATTCCCCATAGTGTTGTTCATATAGTGGACACTATATACATTATGTAATACATACACACACATCTGAAAAAATGGCTAATGTTACCACTTTATCAAAAAGGATACTTACGAAAATTGAGGCCTGTTGTGATGTTTTTACCTAAATTGGTGGGGAGTAGGAGAAGGATTGATGTGAAGGGGAGAAGAGATATTATTCTATTCTGAGCTATTAACATTTGACACTTAACATCCCCCAAGTGTATCCTGCCACCTCAGGCCACTGATAGCTCTGAACTGCTGTGATTTTACTGCCATCTGGTGTCAGATTCGGAAACTGTAGTTCAACATTTTGTCTCTTCATTAGAGGAAGGTAGGCAATCTTTCCTCTGAATGTGGGCCTACTCTTCTCTATCCTGTAAGCAAGTTACCAATAAGAGTCACTTAACTTCAATGTAGGAAACCTTTATTTTCCTTGTTGGTATCCTCTTTCCTTGGCTTCCATGATAAATGCATTCTCCTTTCTAATGTTTCTCTGGCTGTTCTCTCAATCTTCAGTAGCCCATTTCTCTCTTCATGGTAGTTTTTTAGCCCCACGTTCTAGGCCTGCTATCCTTTTTTCCTTTGCTTTCATCTGCACCAGGCTTTAAGTACTGCCTATTTACAAATTTATATTGACAGCCAAAAACTTGCTCTGAGGTTTAGACTACTATCTTTAGTTGCTCACCTAGATATTGCACAAACATCTTAAACATAACATGCTCCCATCAAAATCTGGACCTCCCACCTGCATCCTCATTTCTGAAATTTATTTTTCTAATTTCATTAATCTATCATACCAAAATTATGGGAATCAGCTTGGTATCCCATCTTTCACACTTCATTAGTAAAAACATTAACTACATCCCATTAAGTCTAGAGGGTATATTCTTGTACATGTAAAATTTGTGACCCCTCGCCTGCTCCTGTCCCATCTAAGCTACCACTGTCTCTTGCCTGGACTAAGTTAGGTTCCTTGTTAGTCTCTCTACATCCATTCTTGACTGCATTCACATGTTTTATGTATATTTGTCTAATGTCAGCCTCTCCTGTTATCCTGAGAGTTCTGTGGTGGCAGGGACTGTGTACATTTGGCTCACCATTGGGTCCCAGCACCTCACACAATTTCCGAAAGCTTTTTGTTTAATAGCAACCATGTCACCACTCTGGCTAACCAGTGCTGTTGGTGTGTCCCTTGTAGTTTTAGTGACCAAGGAATTCTAGTGCCAGAATTCCTTAATGCTCTATTTCAGTATTAGTGTTCTATACCAGTTCATTTACCATAAATGAATTTAAGCTATTTTCTGCTTTTTCCAAGGGAGACTGACTTGTGTCTGAAGGGACAATATATTTGGGGTATTAATCAGCTAGTGTTCAAATGAACTTTAGGACAACAGCCTATTTATATCCTATAGAATGCCAATCAAGATGCTGAAATGATTTTCCAAGCACTTGAAATTGCATGCTATTGGTTTGTCTCTTAGCACTCTTCTGTCTGAAATTTAATATCTTTAATGTTGCAGTACATTTGTTAAATCATGGATTAAAACCTGTTTGACTCTTAAGTGTTCTTTTAATAGAGGCTCAGTTGATGATGGTTTCATTTAGTAATTTTGGTTTGACATTTTAAAATGGTTTTGCTTTATAAGGTTTTACTACTAGGGCTTCCTTGGTGCTTTGAGTTGATGGTATTTCTCAATAAAAAAAATTTAATTTATAAAAGTAGAGGTGATTTATAAAAAGTAGTTATTTAGAGATGGGCAACAATCTATGTACTGAGGATGCAAACTCAGAGAACGAGAATTTAATAGGTATATAGCAGGGTTTCTCGGTGTTGGCATTATTCACATTTTGGACTGAAGAGTTTTTTGGTGTGTAGTGTCAGGGGCGTGTCCTGGGCACTGTAGGAAATTAGCAGCAGTCCTGGTCCCTACCCATCAATGGAACTCCCCTCACCCATTATGATAATCAAAGATACCTGTAGACAATGCCACATTGTCCTGGGGGTGGGTGGGCAAAATTGCATATCCCTTGAAAACCAGTAGTTTCTATACTTAGAAGGGGGTAACTGGCCATGAAGTGTCTTACTTGGGAAATCGTTGGCGTTTCTAAGCGTTTTTGAGAATATGGTAGCTGTGTGGTATATTGTTAATGGCAAAGAGAAATGGAAACTATATGATAGGTTTTTTTTTACATTTTAGAATTTGTGCTTGCCTAAAATAAAGTAACTTTTGCACTTAGCCACCTGGTTCTATTCCAAACTGAAAAAGGGTACATTCTAAATCATATTTCACTGATACTGTTTCATTTTGTTAGCTCACTTCAGCAGTTAGGTAGTGATAGAAAAAGAGAACCAAGAGTACAATTTAAAGAGTAGCTTATAATCAGAGCTTTTGCCATTGTGCTTTTATATATATATAGGGTATAGAGTGTAATTAACTTATTCTACGTTTTTTTTTTTTTTTTTTTCCCCAAAGGGAAATGAGAGATGGCTTTAGAAGAAAAAGTTTCTACTCTTCCCATTATGCGAGAGAGCGGTCTCCTCATAAAAGGGACAATACTTTTTTCAGAGAATCACCTGTTGGCCGAAAGGATTCTCCACACAGCAGATCTGGTTCCAGTGTCAGTAGCAGAAGCTACTCTCCAGAAAGGAGCAAATCATACTCTTTCCATCAGTCTCAACATAGAAGTATGTATTTTAAGACTTCATTTTTTTCTCTCACAGTCTCCTCTGATGAGAATGTACTGAGTCAGATTTCCTTATAGGTGTAAGAGATTTATTTTTTAAACTTTTTATTTTGAAAAATTTCAGACTTACAGAAAAGATGATAGAATAGTATAACAAACACCATACACACACATTTTTTTCAAACTATTTGAAGTGGCATTCTGTATGACACTTTGCCTTTAATTTCTTCAGCATGTAAAAGAGGACTTTTTTTTTTTTTTTTTTTTTTTTTTCCCGGGAGTCTTGCTCTATCTCCCATGCTGGAGTGCAGTGGCATTATCTTGTCTCACTGCAGCCTCCGCCTCCCGGGTTCAAGTGATTCTCCTGCCCCAGCCTCCTGAGTAGCTGGGATTACAGGCGTGCGCCACCACGCCCGGCTAATTTTTGTGTTTTTAGTAGAGATGGGGTTTTACCATGTTGGTCAGGCTGGTCTCGAACTCCTGACCTCGTGATCTGCCCACCTCTGCCTCCCAAAGTGCTGGGATTACAGGCGGGAGCCACTGCTCCCGGCCAGCCTTGTAAAATTTAGAATGAAAACCTCCCTTACTCTTTTCCAACCCCCAATTTTATTTTATTTTTATTTTTATTTTTAATTTGGCATGCCTGAACCTACATGGTATTCTGTACAATCTTAGCTTGTCATGCTGGCTGAGTTGTTAGTATGTGTTTGAATAAATCAATGACAAAACTACTTTTCTAGAGAAAACATTCTTATCTTTGCAGCCTGCGGTGGAACTTGTTCACAAAACATTTTCTTGTGCCTTCTGTATGCAAGGCACTGTGTTAGTGTTAAATAATGACGTCCCTGTCACTAAAGAACTAGAATATATGTGTATATTTCTCACCAGCTAATGTCAACTTTATCAATATGTTAATATATATAAAATATAACTGATACAATAATTGGTATGTCATAAATGAGTTGACATGAGCATGTCAAGGTGAGAAAAATTAATTTACACTCTGGGGATGTAAGAACATGTCATAAAGGAGATGACATTGGGCTCAGCCTTATTTCAGATTTCTACAAGTAAAGAAGTGTCTTCTAGTTAGAAGGAATTACGGGCCAAGGTGCAGAAATCAGAAAAGTTCAGGATATTTCCTTTTGAATGTCCTTCTCATTAACTGTCTTTTTTCAAATAATAAGAGTTTTAATTTAACAGCCTTTGCCTCTTACATGATGAAGGTGATGGAAAACCATTTGGAGTCATCAGATTGTCTTCCCTTGAAGCTGTTGCAAGATTGTTGAGTTTAGCAAACATTTATTGTCTACTGTTTGCAGAGATAGATAGAGTGGGGCTTCCCAAAAAACATATTTTTGGATACAGGCATATTCATGATTATGCAAGAGATCAGAAGGTTATTTTAAGGATTTAAAACAAACACAGGCTGGGCACAGCAGCTCATGCCTGTAATCCTTGCACTTTGGGAAAGCCAAGGTGGAAGGATTACTCGAGCCCAGGAGTTTGAGAGCAGCCTGGGCAAACATAGTGAGACCCGTGTATCTAAAAAAAAGAATTAAACAATTAGCTGGGTATGGTGATGTATGCCTGTATTTTCAGCTACTCGGAAGGCTGAGGCAGGAGGATCACTTGAGCCCAGGAGTTTGAGCCTACAGTAAACTGTGATCATGCCACTGCACTCTAGCCTGGGCAGCAGAACGAGACTATGTCTCTAAAAATAAATAAATAAGTAAATAAATAAGCCACTTACATATATATGCCTGATTGTCCAAAATGTGCTTGGGACAGTTCTAGGTAACTGAAGGTTTTATTGTGGAGACTAATGTTAACAAGTATACAAGTATTTTCTCTTTTGCTTCTATGTACCCCACCCCTACCACAAAAAAAAAAAAACCTTAAGAAGATAATCCGTAAGCCAAGCTTGTCCAACCCCCGTCCTGCAGGCCACATGCAGCCCAGGATGGGTTTGGATGCAACCCAACACAGATTAGTAAACTTTCTTAAAACATGAGGCTTTTCTGTGAAATTTTTTTTTTTTTAAAGCTCACAAGCTACTGTTACTGTTTGTCTTTTATGTGTGGCCCAAGACGATTCTTCTTCCAGTGCACCCCAGGGAAGCCAAAAGATTGGACACCCCTGCCCTAAGCTCTTATGAATGCTCACATGCACAGACATATCCAAAATTAGCCAGATACCATCTAAGACCCTAAAAAATTATTTATTTATTTATTTATTTATTTTATTATTTTTTTTTCTGAGACAGAGTCTTTTTCTGTCACCCAGGCTGGAGTGCAGTGATGTGATCTCACTCACTGCAACCTATGCTTCCCGGGTCAAGCAATTTTCCTGCCTCAGTCTCGCTAGTAGCTGGGATTACAAGCATGCACCACCAGGCCCAGCAAATTTTGTATTTTAGTAAAGATGGGGTTGCACCATATAGGCCAAGCTGGTCTCGAACTGCTGACCTCAAGTGATCCACCTGCCTCGGCCTCCCAAAGTGCTGGGATTATGGGCATGAGCCACTGTGCCCTGCCCTTAGGATCTTTTTTTGGGATGTGTATGACTTAAATCCATATCCAATAATGATTTTCATTAACGAAGAAAGTATCTTTGGAAACTGATTATGAAAACTTTTTAACAAAACATGAATAAAAGAAGCTTAAAAGAGATTCTTACTTGACAGCTTATAATGAAATTATTAAGGGTAGTTATTGGTGAATTAGCTTTTATTTTATCCTCAAAAACAGAAATTTGCGGGGAAAGCATCTTCTCTCTGTTGACCTGCTTTGGGCCTCTTAGTGGCCAAAACTCTTAAGGTCTTGGGATGAAATGTGGATGAGCCATAATGTGATGCTCCTGTCTTAGGGTCTCCAATATCCTTCACTCATCCTTTGAGGGCTCATACCTTTAGTATTTGGAGTGATTTAAAGATTAAGTTGGTAGACTAAAATATGGGGTAAATTGAATGAAACAGAGCATATGACTTTGTTAATGCCTGCATCTATCTTTCTTTCTCTCTCTCCTCTTTCTTTCTTTCTTTCTTTCTTTCTTTCTTTCTTTCTTTCTTTCTTTCTTTCTTTCTTTCTTTTCTTTCTTTCTTTCTTTCTCTTTCTTTCTTTCTTTCTTTCTTTCTTTCTTTCTTTTTCTTTCTTTCTTTTCTTTCTTTCTTTTCTTTTTCTTTCTCTCTTTCTTTCTCTCTCTCTCTCTCTTTCTTTCTTTCTTTCTTTCTTTCTTTCTTTCTTTCTTTCTTTCTTTCTTTCTTTCAAGTTATTTAGCTTTGAAAGTAAAGTTCTTTAATCAAGAAAAAGTTTATTCTGGGAAAACTCTATTTTCAAGTATTCCTTAACTACTTGGGCTGAACTACGAAAATTTTTTCTATTTTCCTTTCCTGTTTTCAGAATCATTACATAAGAAATCTTGCAAAAAAGTTAATGGAGGTCGTATTTTAAATAATACATGGGAAAAGTTATTATTTGACCTATTTCAGATACCGGTTTTTGCATTAAATCTAAATGTCACAAATATTGCAGCACCTGGCTTTTCTTCAAAAGAGAACTAAGACATGGGGTTCTTCACTTATCAGTCACTTAAGCTGGGATAATTACCCACGTGTTAAAATTAAGTTTTCTGGTATAAATTGAAATTTTGACAAAGACTTAAAATATTATTATAAGTATAAATAACAGATTAAAATAATTATGCCCTCATTTTAAAAAATTAACAATTTTTTCCTTTCTGTTTGTACTTTTAGATTAATTTTTCCTATTTTAATGATCACTATTGGTTTGGCTATAGTGATTTTACCTCATTTTTAAATTCAACTGCTTATTTCCCATTTTGTGCTTACACACATACACACACATTTAATTAAATCTCTTCTACTTAGCCTTTTGAATTAATCTTCTGGAACTTTGTACTTCTTCAAACTAATTATCCTTCTAAATCAAACTTGTTTTCATCCTGTACTTTACTTGCAAGAATATTCTTACTATAACTTAGTTGGGCTGACCTGGATATGCAATATTATTTTTAGTTCCTTTTTGTTGTCCATGTTCACATGCTAGCAGTGCAGATTGTCCTAGTTAACCTCATTTCCTTTCTCCCTGTGTATTATGATGCTTTCCCAAGTAAATTTTTTTTATATTTACCTCGTATACTCGAAGTTTATTTTTATCGTAATTAATCTAAATATCTCCACATTTGTCAATTCTAATACTTATTTTCTTTTTTTCCCTCTTTGAAATGATCCCATGTTTTCCTATCCTACACTTTTATCATTTGCCTTTTATTTAAGCTATAACATTAAAAGTGATGAAAAAATCACTAAGTTTGGTCTCCCACACCTATTTTTTGTTAAAGTATTAGTACTTCTTGTGATAAATTTACTAAATCACAATCTACTCCTTCTGTATAGCTCATTCTTTATGAAAGAATTAAAATCTTCTTCAGTAACATCTACTTAATACTAGTTATTCTTTTTAGAGCCATATATAAAGATATTTCTTCCTTTTATGTTGTAAACTGTTATATATTGGAGGAGTACTATCATATTCTTCATGATTTTTTTTCCAGGTTTAAATATATTTGGTTTATTTTGCTGTTCCTTTTATTTGTCATGGTTTCCAGACCTTTTGCTTTCCCTATTTTTTCTTCTGTTTCTTGTAATTTATAATACCAGAAGTGAATTTTTATTTTAGCAACCACATTTCATTACTGGATTGTAGGCAACTGAAACCTAAGCTATTTTCACGTAAACAAAATACGTGAACAAATGCCTCTCAGGCTGTACTTTTTCAGGTGCAATTGTTTGTGTGTAGTTAATGCACTGAAAAAAAAAACAAACTAGAAATGCTACATTTTATCTAATTAACTTTAGCTTATTTTGTTTTATAGAATTCTCAAAATCTCATTTAGCGATTCTGTATATTAGTACCTGATAAGAACAGCTTGTATTATCTGCAAATTAAGTATGCTGGATATGTTTTGTATTATTTGTTAATAATTTATGTTGAGGAGCATAAGGCCAACTGTGGAAACCTCTAGAGATCTGTTAACCTGAACCTTTTATCGGCATTGTTTGTTGCTATTCAACAATTATGATCCCTTATCTTTACTGTTATCTTATTTTCATTTCCACTTGAGAATCTCAAGGAAAACCCTTCAGGTGTTTCTTGAAACTCTTAAGTTACAAATATTTCTTCTATCAAAACAGTAACATAGAGATTATCTTGCTTTGTTGTTGTAAATCCACTGTGGCTCCTAGAGATGAAACTACCCCTCTGTTAATTCATTTTAAACATTTGCTAGGGATTAATCCCACATTTATCAGAGATACTTACATATTTAGATTCTGTGACATTTTGGTTGAATTTTAAAATACTTTTACTTTGCAAAATTTGCAAGTTTATTGTTTATTTTGCTTGGCCTCTGTTTTTTCTGTAGCTGTAACTTTGGGCCTAGCTTCCCTTATTTTTCTTATGTCAACGACCATTATTAAGAATAGAAGGTATTTTTAAAAAACATACTATTAGTCATTAGTGTTTAATTGTTTTTAAAAATACATCTTCTAAGAGAACTGAAAGTGTACAAGAATTAAAAGTACTGTTTTGAGACAAGTATATTTGGAAGATAGAGTTCATTTTTGAATGTCAATCTAATAGAAGAAGACATATGTCTTAAGACTGGTTGGCTATAAAATTTGAAGTCTCCATGAATTTTTTGATTATAGCTGAAATTCTTTTTTTAAAAAAAAACTATTCTAGACTTATTGGTAATATAGCCGAAATTCTGATAAAATTTTGAACTTTAATTTTGCTTTTAGGTGAAGGCTTTTCTGTGCAGATTTGAAGAAGTAATATCAATATAGAAATAAGGCTTTATCTTCAGATCATGTATATTAGGCAACAGGAAGAGAGGATAAAGTCATTCTCTTAGCAGTGAAATATCGTAGCATTTCTTGGTTTGAAGCCCACTATGTTGTGTTCAATACGTACATCTCTTAATCAACACACATGTATTGAACATAAATTGTTTGCCAAGCAAGACAGATTCAATCTCTGCCCTCTGAGTTTATGATCTAGTCAGGAAGACAAACAAGAAATTAAATAGGAGTAAACATTTTAGGTGACATCTGAAGGGTTAGTAGAAGGTGAAGGATGCTAGTGGAGGTTTATGGGGATGAGTTACATCATGTGGAGTCCCTAAAGTATAATTTAATAGTTCCCTGAAACATTTTAGGCTGTCACTTGATCTAGACTATTAATGCGCTGTTGAGTTAGATTCTATAACATATTCTTCTTGTTTGAGGATCCATTGTTTACTCACAGGAGAGCTTTGGCTATGAGTTTTGTAGCTAAATCCTAAGATTATAGCTATAGCTTTTCTGGCATCTTAATGATCAAGGTTCTAAAACAAATCAATTAATGCCATATGCATAGGAATTTTATTGTATCCCCGTTTTAGCACTTAGTATATTCTGTCAGTAGCAAACGTTCATAATGTGTGCAGATGATGTTTTCCTTATATATTTAAAAGTGTGCCCACATGGTTTTAGCTTATGTATTAAAGGAGATCTCTACTCAGAAGTGTGCTTCCAAGTATTCAGTCAGTTGGCCTTTGCTTTAACTTGTTGCAACTCTGACCTCCAAAAGACAGATCTTGAGGGAAGCAGAGGTGATGCAATGCTTTCTCTACCCCTCTACCTGTTTCTTTTCTCTGGTATTTTTTGGTGTCTTTAACATGAGAACATTTTTCTTGTGTCTCTCCATTTTCTAATTCATATGTTCTTGAGTAAATCAGTAGATCTCTGAGAAACATGTTTTTTCTAACCAAGAGTCCCAAATACCCACATCTTCATCCATGATCCAGTAAAAGAATTTTCTCATCATCTGTGTAGCCACATCTTCATTTATTTATATCTTAATTTCTCTTCAAATATTCAGCTGTTGAAGAAGAAATGAATGTACTACCTGTGTTGGTGAAGTTTGTTTCTTGATGGGACTTGCACTCAAAAATACCTGGTTTGTCCCTGTTTGCCAAGCACTGCACTGAGAATCTGATAGTTTGCAAGACATAGCCCCTAACTTTATCATCTCTTATGATTATGTTATTTTTTTCCCCTGCAGTGTCCTTTTTTCCTACCTGGGTTCACTTGATGTAGGATTGGATGAATCTGGTTAGATTTATCATTTCTTTTAGCAGGAAAACACAACAGCAAGAAAGTGTATTTCTAAAAGATCCTATTAGATTGCATTCAGCCATTGCATTCAAGGAGTCACCAAATACTCTGAAACTCTTGCAGAACTTCCTGAGTGTGTTGTGGAATGTTAAGCTGCTTCTCCGGCTTTTGATTTCACTTCAATGGGAAAAACATTATATGGAACCAGTATTTGAAATTCCTTTTTATTTCCTTTTTTCCCCATTTATTCTTTCACTTATTAATATAGAGACAGGGATTTTGGTTTCTGTACTGCCACTTTCAGAATTTTTTTTTTCTGGTTTCTTTTCTCCATCCTAATTTGGAACTCATTTTCTTTAGCAAGTCACAACAAAGGCAGGAATGTTTTCAACCTTTTTAGCTTGCTGTCAAGCACAGAGGTAGTGTCTGCTTACAAAGATCATGAGTGAGATGAATTTGAGGTAATAGCTCAATAGCTAATGAGTAGCAGTCTGTTAGTTAGAAGGTAGAACAATGAGTGAAAGAGGCAGATTTTAGAGACTTTTATATTCATTGTATTGGTTGGAGCCAAATAAAAATAGAAAAAAAGATTAAGGTTAGGAGGAACACTCACATTTAAGGAACAATAACCAACAAAAATGAAAGAGCGGTAGCCGTGAAGATGTAAGGGGGCAAACAGAAGTAAAAAGATATGAAAAACAAATAGCAAAATATTAAGAAAAACTTGTTTATAAATCATTAAAGTGCTATAAGAGGATAAGAAGAACGAGACCTTTTAGTTTTAATATGAGCACATCAGTGGAAACTTTGGGATGAAGAGTTTAAGTACAGTGGTGGTGTTTCTATTGTCTCTTATTGCATTACAAAAAAAAAAACAAAACCCAAAACTTAGAGAATTAAAACAATAACTACTTACTTGTTCATGACTGCAATTTAGCTGGGTAGTTTTACTGGTCTGTTAGAAGATTGTTAAATAGTCCAAGCCTACCTAAGACAATACTAACGGGAATTTATAATTATATGTGGTAATGCCTACAGTGTCTCTGAAGTTTGGAATCAAAATCAAACACATCCACAGTGGTGTGTTGGTAAACTGACTCTCCAAGCTTAAAAAGATAAGATTTGTAGCATTTGCTGATACCTATGGAGTGTATCTCTCATCATAGTTCAGCTTCCAACATGGAGTAACTGAAGACAAAGTTAAAGGGATGCATGCAATCCACTATCAGGAGCTAATATGAATTGGCTTAAGGCTCCAGTACTTTTCTCTGAAATATCACCATTATCTCTTCATTCAAGAAAGAATTTGAGGCAGCTTAATGAAATAAACACTTAATAAAATAGGATTAAATAAGTGGAGCAGGAATTTTATGTAAAAGGAAAATAAGGATAGGAAAGTAAAAGTAAGAATAAAGTTGGTAGTATATGAAATAAATGCCCATCATAAGGCTCTGAACAGTTGCTATAGGTGAACTAAGAGTTTGGCCAAAACAAAGCTAAAAGAATCAAGAATAAAGTTAGTAGTGTATGAAGTGATTGTCCATTGTGAGACTCTGAGCAATTGCTGTAGCTGAACTAAGGGTTTGGCTGGGCGTGGTGACTCACGCCTGTAATCCCAGCACTTTTGGAGGCCGAGGCGGGTGGATCACGAGGTTAGGAGTTCAAGACCAGCCTGGTCAAGATGGTGAAACCTCGTCTCTACTAAAAAAAAAAAAAAAAAATTAGCCGGACGTGGTGGCAAGTGCCTGTAATCTTAGCTACTCGGGAGGCTGAGGCAGGAGAATTGCTTGAACCGGCAGGGGGCAGGGCGAGCGGAGGTTGCAGTGAGCCGAGATCATGCCACTGCACTCCAGCCTGGGCAACAGAGTGAGACTCTGTCTCAAAAAAAAAAAAACAAGAATCAAGAAGAGTGTTGACAGTCAGCAAATAAAAACAAGTCAGCTTATCAGGAGAAACAAAACTTGCTGGGATGCTAGAGAGAGATCAGTGAATAATAAAAGGATACTGCATCCTCAACATTATTGCAAAAGTAAAATGGCAATATTTGCATGATGTTTCTTGAAACGTTTTAAGGCAAGATGCTGATAGTGCCAAAACAATTCAGAAAAAATGTTATTTTCTCAGAAAAAAATGTAAAATTGGCAACTTGGGATCTGTAGAGAAGGATTTGAAGTCATTGTTATGGAGTTTGTATCTTACTGAAAAAATACCTGGGAGCCCTGACTACTGGTATATTTAGGCTGTTTAGTAAGATGATTCCATCCATATCATTAAAAGTTTGCAGACAAGGAAGCTAACAAAATATTTCAAGATTCTAAATGTGGGATAATTAGGGGCTCAACTAGTATCCTTTTTTAACTGGTAGGAGTGATCCATCTTTCATTTTTGACTGTGTATGCAGGTGTGCTCCTTTCCCAGGCCTTCCAGTGTCAGCTTTATGGATGGAGAGAATTCGACTAGGTACTTTCAGTGATGAATAAGATGTGATCTTTGTCTTCAGGTTTCAATGTCTTGTCTTGCTATGACCCTTTTCTCATTCCTTTCTGCCCTTGTTATCCTTGACTGGTCTTATCCTGACAGTTCCCACTGGCTTCGCGCCTTAAGTGGAGATTTTTTCCTCCCATTCTTTATTCCCCTTCAGTGGTGATTGCTTAGGCAGCCCAACTTGAAAGTAGGGTAGGAAAGAGTTTAGGGTCACCAGAAAATGCTCAGAAGGCCCTGTTCTCATCACTCTTACTTTTGAGTTCTTCTCTTGTTCCTCTTGGGCACAGAGGTGCTGCTGTTAATTCCTCCCTGCCCACCTTTCCATAGAGTCCGTGCGTCCTGGTGCCTCCTACAAACGGCAGAATGAAGGAAATCCTGAAAGAGGTGAGTTTTGAGCTAGACTCTGATTTGGGATTGTGAAGGGGTGGGAGACTTGAATTGATAGCGGTTATGGAAATGGGGAAAGTATATAACTGCTCCATTAGTCTGTTGTCAGAACCAGAGTTAACAGTAGACCTAGGTACTAGGATTTAGGGGGCATTTGTGGGCTGGTATCTGGGCTAACCATTCCTGGTTGGGAATAGCCACTCCATAGAAGATCTGTAGAATAGACAGGCCATTGGAAGATAGGACCTGACAACAATAGGATCAAGTGATTTCTATTTACTTTTTTTGTGCTCTTTCTTTTGCTATTTGTATCATTGTTTTCTTTATCCTTTGCTACTTGCTTTCTGCTTCCATTGTTGCAACAGGGATATATGAATATATGTGGATATATGATAAACCTCCTGCACCACCGTTCAGTGTTCCTTTGCTTCTGTGCATGAAATTGGTTGATAACGACTTAAATTAGCCTTCGGGCAGCTAAAATCAGGAAAGGTCTAAGACTATACTTTGGGATCATATGTTTGTAACGGAAACACTAAGCAAAAGATCAACAGCTGCTTGTGACAGGTTTTTTTCCCCCTCTGTGTCTAGCTGATATGTGCTAAAGAATTGAGCCTGTAATTATGCCTTTAATAAGCATGATGTGCTGTGCTGGTTGGTCCAGTGCCTCGTCTCCTTTGAAGGGATTGCTTATCTGAATAGGATTGGGAGGTCATTGCATCTTAGGGAAAGAAAAGTGAGGTTCATCTTTTTATCTGATTTTCGAGTGCCTACCCTTTTCTTGAAGGGCTTGAGCTAAGTAGGCCACGGATATTTGGAAATGAATAAGCTATGACACTTGTTCCTCCGAGAGCTTTTGTTGTAGTGGGATACACTGACACTATCACACTACAATGTGAAATTTGCCACATGCAATGGAAATACAATAAGGAATGACTAAATAAATCATGTTCTTGGCCATTTGGGATACAGCAGTGGTTCTTTTGAGTTTTAAGGTCTACAAGAACTTTTAAAGTTGCTTAGGGTGAAAGCCTCTTGTGGTATCACCTGTTAAAAGACTCTAGGGCTGTATCTTTCTAGTGCTGTTAGAGCTTAAAAATTGGAATATTCAGCCTAGGGGAGGAGTCCTCAACCTCTGCACAATTGACATGTAAGGCCAGTTAGTTCTTTGTTGTTGGGGGTGTCCCCCATAGCAGGATATTTACCAGCATCCCTGTTTTCTACTAAATATGTGCTAGAGTAGCCATCTCCCACTTGTGACAGTCGAAAATATCTGCACATACTGCCAAATGTCTGCAGAGGGGAGGTGTGAAATTGTCCTTAGTTAAGAACCACTGGGCTAGAGAAAGCGTTTTGGGTCTGTAGGACATTAGAAAGGTGTTATTCACCACTGTCCTAGGTGGTTGGAAGTCTTTGAGCCTCCAGGACCTTCTTATCTATCTTGGCTGTGTCAGGAAGAGCGTAAGAGGCTTTTTGACTGAAGCTGGCTTTGCCTCAGTTTCAAAGTCGCTTTATCTCTGCTTTTGCTCCTGACTGCTTTCCTGTTAATCCACTGTCCAGTCTCGACCAGCTTCTGTGTGACTCCAAATTTGATGCCACTTTCTCTTCTCATGTTATTAATTTTGTTAGTTTTTCTAGCAACAAAGGGCAGAGGATTATATATTTGACACATATAGACAATTTAATGAAATGTTTTTCTGTAACAGCTCACTGTTATTCATTTTTAAGAGTATATTTAACTAAACCTATCTTTTAGGGAGTTGTTGAACCTGCTAAAGTAATATTGTTTAAATGTATTTTCTGGCTCAAGTTTCTATAAAAAATGATATACGTACAGCATTATGTGAGTAAAGTGACTAAAGGTAAAGATTAGTGACTTTATCTCATAACAGGTTTATTGTTAACCATTTAACAAATATTTGGGCATTCATTAATGCCAGGCACTGGATTAGTGTTCTGAATTACAGCTTTCTAACTTTATGTTTAAAACTATCTAAACATTTCAGGAATATCTGTTAAAGTTCCTATATAGATCCTCCTTGAGCTACCCCTTAATTAACTAGTCCTCCTTGGTATCTTTATATATAATAACTATCTTTGTATTTTTATTGTGATATATCAAACATTAGTATTTAGGAGCATGAAAGAAGTAGCATTCATGGTTTTAAAAAACTTTCTTGAAGTCTCTGTGGCTCCATGTTTACTTACTGGCAGTGCTGTGGCCTAGACTGGCTTCTATGATATCCTTTGGTTCCAGGTTATTTCAGATTGTTGATGGTGATCAGCCTCTCAGAGGTAGTTTTAGATAGTAACCTATTTAAAGTTTTTAGTAGTAAAATAAAGTGTATGACCCCCTCATTAATTCCATTACAAAATTACTTTATCAAAAACAAATTAGCTAGAAAAAAATTACATCTTATATTTTCTTATATAGATAAAGAGAGGCCTGTCCAGTCTTTGAAAACATCAAGAGATACTTCACCCTCAAGTGGTTCAGCAGTTTCTTCATCAAAGGTTTGTTATATTTCTAAAATCAGTTTAAAGAAGAATTACAAATTGAGATGGACTGACTAGTATAGATGCTTTTATTCTTTACTGTTACACCAAGGGAGCTAATTTGCTGCATTTAAAAACTTCAGTTTTTGGCTAGGTGTGGTGGCTCATGCCTGTAATCCCAGGGCTTTGAGAGACTGAGATGTGAGAGTTGCTTGAGGCCAGGAGTTCACAACTAGCCTGGGTAACATAGCAAGACTTTATTTTAAAAATTAAAAATTAGCTAGATGTGGTGGCATGCACCTGTAGTCCTAGCTATTCAGGAGGCTGAGGTGAGAGGATTACTTGAGCCCAGGAGGTTGAGCCAGCAGTGAGCTGTGATTGCACCACTGCACTCTAGCCTGGGTGACAGAGCAAGATGCTGTCTCTAAAAAATAAAAATAGGCCGGGCACAGTGGCTCACACCTGTAATCCCAACACCTTGTGAGGCCGAGGAGGGTGGTTCATGAGGTCAGGAGGTCGAGACCATCCTGGCTAACACAGTGAAACCCTGTCTCTACTAAAAGTACAAAGAATTGGCCGCACGTGGTGGCTCACGCCTGTAATCCTAGCACTTTGGGAGGCCGAGGCAGGCGGACCATGAGGTCAAGAGATCGAGACCATCCTGGCCAACATGGTGAAACCCTGTCTATACTAAAAATACAAAAAAATTAGCCAGGCATGGTGGTGGGTGCGTGTAGTCCCAGCTACTTGGGAGGCTGAGGCAGGAGAATGGCGTGAACTTAGGAGGCAGAACTTGCAGTGAGCTGAGATCACGCCACTGCACTCCAGCTTGGTAACAGAGTGAGACTCCATCTCAAAAGAAAAAAAAAAAGGAAAAGCAAAAAATGAAGAATTACCCGGGTGTGGTGGTGGGCGCCTGTAGTCCCAGATACTTGGGAGGCCAAGGCAGGAAAATTGCTTGAATCCGGGAGGTGGAGGTTGTGCTGAGCTGAGATCGTGCCGTTGCACTCCAGCCTGGGTGACAGAGTGAGACTGTGTCTCAAAAAAACAAAAACCAAAACCCCTTACATTTTAAGTAACCACAGCTTGAAAATAGCAGCCCGAGTTTGCTATTTTCTATGAGAAAAATGGGCAGTTTTCTCATTGAATTTTTAACACAGTCTATGCCAAATTTAGTAGTTATTGTTGCAACCCATGTTCTCATCTTGACCATAACCAGGTTGGATGGGTTATATCTGGTGGATTGTGCTTTTATTTGGGGCGTTGAGAGTGTAGGCAGAGACCTAACATGTATGGTGTATTTTTTCTCTTATTAATTCATGCAGAAATCTTATGTTAGTAGGTACATATCTCTATTCTATAGTAGAGTGAGGACTCAGGAGTTAAATTAATTTCTTACGGACACAGCTACCCCTCACTATGTCATTCTTCTCATTCCTACCTTCCTAGCATCTCAAAACATAAATCCTCAGAAATTACAAGCTTGACAAGTTGCTGTTTCCATCTGTTTTCTCCAGTTAGAAGTTCTCTTCACAGATATCATACCCTTTCTCTTAGCCATAACGGTTGTTACATCCGTTATCTGCTTCACTTCTTTTCATTCTGCCTTACATACTTTTTGGCTTTTCAGGAAGAGTAGATATCATCTAGCAGTCTATACTGGGTGTTCGGGGGGCAGCTGCTTCCCTGCCTCAGAAGGAAAAAAACAAGCTTCTTTGTGACAACTTGTATCTTTGGAACTTTCCCAGAAGTCTGAGGGTTCTGGGATTCTGGATTTTGAATAGCAAAGACCAACTGGATTATGGTTCTGTCTTAATCATATCAAGGGTACTTTACCCACCTGGAAGACTGCCTTGGTTTTCATGTCAGGTAATAGATGAAAGAAGAGTAAATAGTACCTGCCTACCAAAGTCACTACAAAAATTCAAATTATTATATATGAAATATTTTCTCTGAAATATACTGCTATCTGAATATAAGTTACAACATAGAGTTTTGTGCTACGTTAAAATGTTTAGTGGAAAACCCGTGTTGGATTTTTAACTACTTTTGTCTGATAGTTTCATGTAGATCGAGCTTGATCTACATGCACCTGTGGCCCAGGATGGCTTTAAATGCAGCCCAACACAAATTTCTAAACTTTCTTAAAACATTATGTGATTTTTTTTTTCCTTTTTTTTTTTTTAAGCTCATCAGCTATTCTTAGTGTTAGTGTATTTGATGTGTTGCCCAAGACAATTCTTCTCATGTGGCCAAGGGAAGCCAAAGATTGGACACCCCTCATGTAAATGTTTGCATTTTTGTTTCACAGACAGTAAAGTCTTTTTTTTTTTTTTGTATATGAAAATAGAGATGGGGTCTTGCTTGCTATGTTGCCCAGCCTGGTTTCAAACTCCTGGTCTCAAATGATCGTCCCACCTTGGCATCCTAAAGTGCTGGGATTACAGGCATGAGCCGCTCTGCCTAGCCAGACTATAAAATCTTAAAATGGAATCAAAATATCACAATTTTAGATCCATAGCTATTTTATGTATTCAGAAGGTAGTGCCTTCTTTGATTTGCCCAAGGTCACATGGTAGCTGTGGGGAGCTTTATGAGCCTAGATTTCCTGATTTGGTGAACTCTTTGATGTAACATTATGGCTGCCCATATGTTGGGATACTTTTTCAGAGTTTGTTAGTTTCAAATGATAGGTTTTCAAATGTGCGGACAGAATGATGATAAGTTATAGTAGGCTTTTGCTTCATTCTTTTTGAAGGACCGGGGGAACGGGGTTTCACTCTGTCGTCCAGGCTGGAGTGTAGTGGCATAATCTGGGCTCACTGCAACCTCCACCTCCCAGGTTCAAGCAATTCTGCTGCCTCAACCTCCCAAGTAGCTGGGATTACAGGCGCCTGCCACCACACCTGGCTAATTTTTGTATTTGTTGTAGAGATGGGGTTTCACCATGTTGGCCAGGCTGGTCTGGTCTTGCACTCCTGACCTCAGATGATCCACCCGCCTCAGCCTCCCAAAGTGCTGGGATTATAGGTATGAGCCACTGCTCCCAGCCGCTTCATTCTTTGCTAGAGAGAAGTCGTATAATTGTTTTTGGTCTTTAACTTTCTCTTAAATAGGTATGCCCCCTCACCCCCCGGAAAAAAACCAGCTTTCTTGGATATATTTGTGTTTGTATATGTGTTTTCTTCTTCTGACTAGCTTTTTAAAAAACCTTCTATTACTAAGTAATAATAAAAGTATTACTTATAATACCTTTTTAACCTTATATATGGGCAGGGCTTTGGAATGAGCTGTTTAAGGTTCCTCGATGGCTGTAGAATATACTTCATATAGATATATTGCTATGATATTCCAGTAAATGTTATAGATGGCTAGCCAGTAGTTTGATGAATTTAACAAGATGTGGAAAAACATCAAATGACCTTTTCATTAAAAAAATGTCTAAGCCAGGCATGGTGGCTCATGCTTGTAATCCCAGCACTTTGGGAGGCCAAAGCAGGCAGATCACCTGAGCTCAGGAGTTTGAGACCAGCCTGACCAATGTGGTGAAACCCTGTCTCTGTAAAAATACAAAAAGTATCCGGGTGTGGTGGTGCACACTTGTACTCCCAGCTACTTGGGAGGCTGAGGTTGGAGAATCGCTTGAACCCAGGAGGTGGAGGTTGCAGTGAGCCAAGGTCACGGCATTGCACTTCAGCCTGGGCGACAGAGTGAGACTCCGTTCCCCCCGGCCCCTCTCAAAAAAGCCTAGATTTAAGTCCCAGCTCAGCATTTATTAGTGACTTTGAGCAAGTCACCATCATTCAGTTTTTTAGTTTATAAGTTGGGATAATAAAGCCTCTCTAATCACCTTCATGGAATTCTATTTAATTAAAGTACTTTTTTTCGTTCGTAGATAAAGCACTTTATAAATGTTAGTGCCCCATAAGTTCAGCGCGCAGCACTGTCATCCCCGAGAGGTATATTTGAAATCAGTGATGAGACTTTAGAAAAGTAAACCTTAGTAATAGAAGGATTTTTACGTAAGAGATGGTTATGCCACTAGGCATGGCAGGGCAAAGTGGTTGAAAATGTATGCCAAGGAAGTAGAATGGAATCAGAGAATTACCATAACGGCCCTAAGGAAATAATTTTTAAACGTGTGCTTTACAAGTCATATCTTATTTACAAAAATAAGCCTTTAAACAATACTGGGGGAATTATATCTGATCCGGAAAAGACATTTTACTTTCTTTATTTTTATATTGAGCCCATGGGCTGATTGATTTTCAGATATGTTTTAGTATAGTAGATTCACATCAGCGAATATGGAAAAGAAAGAAATCCTGAGGCACCAACCATTATTGTGGATACTTCCAGATCTGTTACCTCCTTCAATTCTCACAACTGCTTTGTAAAATGAACATTGTTAATCCCTATTTTGTAAATGAAGAAAGCAAGGCTCATGGTGTCATAAGTTATGCATATAAAGTCATCTACCTAGCAAGACATTAAACTGCGATTCAAAGCCAGGTCTGCATATAACTGCAAAGTTCATACCTTGTTTAGTATTGTATGCAGTTAGATAAAGGAACTAGTACTAGGATCACAAAATGAAATTTGAGTTTTAAAATTTTGTGTAAGGCATAGGATTTATGTAACTCACTATACACTGTAAAAACAGCATATCTATACGTTTCTGTTGTATTAGGAGTTTGCCTTACTGAAATTTAGACATTACTTATTTCATTAAATATGCTTAAAGGCACAAAATTGAAATCAGTATGATGTCTTTTATATTCTAAATATAATTAGTGTATGAGTTAATTGTCAGTGCCTTTTGCTTTGTTACTTAGATGAATTTCTAGAGTCTTATGTAAATGAAATTAAGAATTAGATCTGGTCTGTATGTCCCAAAGGAATTGCTACTTAAAGTAATTCCATGTTGAATATTTTAGAAGGAAGAAATAAAGAATATACCTGTTCTCCGTATAAATTCGAAGGCTTATGTGATTTTAAATGTAAGTGCAGTGTACTTCTTGGTGTATTTGAAGTTTAAAAGCCCTTGAAAATTGTAACAGAAATGTTCTTCTATTTTTATTAGGTGTTAGACAAACCCAGTAGGCTAACTGAAAAGGAGCTTGCTGAGGCTGCAAGCAAGTGGGCTGCTGAAAAGCTAGAGAAATCAGATGAAAATAACTTGCCTGAAATTTCTGAGTATGAGGTAAGGCATGTCTCCTTTATGTTTCACATCTGAAAGTTTTGTCTGGATTTTAAATTATGGGTGGAAAATATTTGGTTTATTCCCGTGCTTTAAAATATATCCTCATGGATTACAGGTATTAAAATTACCACACAGAATGATAGTCTGAATATGAATGACTCTGAATTCAGTAATCACACTTTGTCTGAATGTTTACAGTAGTTTTGGAGTGTAAGAATAGTATAAATATGGATAAGAAAAATGTGTTATTTATGTACTTCTTTAAATGGCATTTGCTGTTAAAAGTATCTCAGGAAATCATGCTGAGCCACTAGTTATAAGCCAGTGAATTCAGAACAGAAATCTAATTTGACCTTGGATTGTGGACCATATTTATATTGCTTGTTATACTTCATGCAGATTATCTCATAAATATCCCAAGAAATAAAATTATTCATTGTCTTGGCAACTTGAGACCTTGATGAGTCCTGAATACCGAAAGATGGGAACATTTTTGGGACCGTAGAAAAAGGTTTATGACATGTTTGTATTAATGTATTTTGAAATGAACTGAAAAATTTCTGTATAACCTATAACATCTCTAAAAGGGAAATATAGAAATTTTATGGGCACAATTAAGCTTTTAGGTTCAGAATTTGATACTATAGGAGTTCTTTGACATGACACGTAGAGAATATAAAAATCTGTCCTGTGACAAATTATTTTATTTGAAGGAGCATTCTGGCTTTTTTGTTTACTTTTGGAATGACTTTTATAGAATGTTATTTGATAAAAGGGATCAAGCATTAATATTGTATGTAAAAATAATACTTAACTACATCTTTATACAGTGAAAAAATCCTTTCCAAAGTAACTAATGTACACTGCTCATAAAAAGTACAACCCCTATCAGAACTTACGCAAACAGAGCCTTTCTTTTTAAAAATGCTGATCTGTCTTTTAGATATCAATTGTTCTTAAGTGGGTCAAGGTTTCCTCCTCATTGTAGCTATAATAATAGATACTTATGCATATTCTCCAGTAAATGTATCAAAAACACCAAGCTGTTCCTCCTTGGTACTTTTCCAGCACTATTTAAAAGCATGAACCATACTTTTCGGTAATACATTTAATTGGATTATTTTGGTTATTTTCTCTAATAATTTAGAATAATGTTTCTATATTAATCATTGATATTTATGCTTCAAAATTGCTGCTTTGGAATATTGGTAGTTTGTTTTATAGAACCGAAAACTTCCAAAAAGAATAATTCCTTTACTTAATACTTTATCTTCAGTTAGCAAGACTTTATTAATATATGAACATTAATAGTATATTTATCCTCCCTTCTCCCATCATTTTTTTATCTCAGATTTTTATAAAAGCTCACTACTGTTCTCAAATTTTAAATATTCTACTTGGGTTCTCTCATTTATTGAATGCATCTTGACACTGAATAATCCATGAGTGACTATGGATCTAGAAATACTTTTTAAACATCTTTTTTTTTTCCTCTAAAATATCAGGATTTGCTAGATTTCGAATTAATGAAAAGTAAATAACCCTAAAAAAATCTGTAAGTTGAGTCATAGGTCAGACATGTTCTTTTGCTGGATCAAAGGCAAGATATGTGAGAGTAGCACTGATAACCATAATATGTTTATTTGTGTATATCATTATTGTTGAACGGCAGCATCAATTTCATCCCATTCTCTAAAATGTTTTTCTACTTAGATTGATACTTTTTCTTTTTTTTTTTTTTTTTTTTTTGAGACGGAGTCTCGCTCTGTCGCCCAGGCTGGAGTGCAGTGGCCGGATCTCAGCTCACTGCAAGCTCCGCCTCCCGGGTTCGGGCCATTCTCCTGTCTCAGCCTCCTGAGTAGCTGGGACTACAGGCGCCCGCCACCTCGCCCGGCTAGTTTTTTGTATTTTTTAGTAGAGACGGGGTTTCACCGTGTTAGCCAGGATGGTCTCGATCTCCTGACCTAGTGATCCGCCCGTCTCGGCCTCCCAAAGTGCTGGGATTACAGGCTTGAGCCACCGCGCCCGGCCAATACTTTTTCATACTGGAAATAAAGCATTTGGGAAATCTTTGTGATAGTTTTTGTAGACTTAGTCCCATATCGTATTAATATTTTTCTCTTATTAATATTTTTGCATATTAATATTTTGCTAATTTGTTCTCGGGCTGTTGTTGAATAGTTACTCATTTCTGTGGTCCATGCTTTTTGAGAAATGTAATTTTGGCCTTGGTCCTGTAAACTGATATCTAATTTGACAGAATAACCTGGAAAGAAGAAAGGCCTTTGATGCCAAGCAAGAGTTTGGCAAAGAACTGTGTGTGTGTGTGCATGTGCATGTCTGTTTAAATCTAATTGTGGCAATATTTTATTTTATATGAGCCTTTTAAGTAATGGTTCATGTACTTCAGGAACATTGTGTAAATTTCATTATTATGAGCTGAGATAGATAGAATGCTTAAGTTTCCACCTTATCTTCACTTGCTTCCATCATTACAGTTCTAAGCAGTTTGGGAAAATGTGTGGTTTATAGAAAGTCCAGTAAAATTGAAGGTAAATTCAATAATATACTTAAATACTCAGGCATGTTGTGGTTCCTGCCACTTTTCAGTTTTGTACTTTCATCTTTTGAGCTCTGCTACAGCATTTCCCAAAGTATTTGACAGCATAGTCTGAAGGGTCTTAATGGTCTGAGGAAGAAAAAAAAAGATTCTAATAGCCAGTTTATTTGGGAGATGCCAAGTTTAAAAGAGTTAGGTTGGTTTTGATATTTCAACACTTTTTAGAGATTTTAATGTATTATTAATATGCTCATCGGTGTTCAGTAAGAGGATGAATAAAAGAATTTGCATAATTTACCAAACTTTTGACTCTGTAATTTTTTTCACAGCATATATTTCAGGATTAGTGTTTTAAGGTACACTTAAAAAATACTGTACTAGTTTTCTTATAGTTTATATAGTTTATTTAAGTTCAGTAACTATGCATTGTATATCTACTTGTGTCATATATTGCTTTTGAGGTGCCATCCTAGCCATCAAGAAGGGTGCAGTCAAGTTTTGTAGAGATACAATTTGTTGTCCTTAAACAAATAGCTGTGAGAGTTTTCTTTTGGTTATCAGAATGAAAAGAAAATTATTTGAAGGATATTAGAATGTCCTGGTAGATGAGACCTAGGCAGGAAGATTATTTGAGGCCAGGAATTGGAGACCAGCCTGGGCAGTGTTGTGTGGTCTTGTCACTACAAAAAAAAAAAACAAAAAACAAACAAACAAAAAAACAAAAAACCTGTGTGTGGTGGCCCCTTAGTCCCAGCTACTCAGGAGGCTAAGGTGGGAGGATCACTTGAGCCCAGGAATTGAAGTTTGCAGTGAGCCGTGATCACACCATGGCCCTCCAGGCTGGGTGACAGCAAGACTCTGTCTCAAAAAAAAGGGGGGGGGGGAATGGGGGGGCAGGTGCACTGGCTCACACCTGCAAAAACAGTGGGACCCCGTCTGTACAAAAAAAAACCCACAAAAAATTAGCTGGGCATGGTGGCATGTGCCTGTAGTTCTAGCTGTTCAGGAGGCTGAGGTGAGAGAATCTTGCTTCTGGATGATTGAGGCCGCAGTGAGCTGTGATTGCGTCACTGCACTCCAGCCTGGGTGGCAGAGCAAGACCTTGTCTCAAAAAAACAAAAATAAAAATAAAAATAAAGTCTCAATAGAATAGGTTACTTCCTGCTATGGAGGAAAAAATTTTAAATTTATGACTTAGGTTGTTTTCACATACAGGATGTTATTTTCGGCTTCAATGTCTGTGCTAATTCTGTCCCTAGTCTAGAATGACCATCTTCCATGGCTCCCTTTCAGATTTATACTCATTCATTGGAATCACTAGTGTTGGAGATAATACAACTCAAGATCTTTCTTGATTCTACTTTTCTACCTACTGTAAAATTTTATGCCACTTTGTATTTCATTGATGACCTTAATTTTTATGTCTAGCAATATATGTTGAATGTATCTCAAACACTTGCCTTGTTTTCCCTAGGACATATGTATCTAATTAAAATAAATTTCATTACTGATGAGCTCTTTTAAATTAATTGTCAGTTTTTTTTCCCCTTTTTCACTTGCTTTTTGTTTCTGAAAGCTCCTGTCTTCTCTGATGTATTTTCTGTGCTCACCAGTTTACGTATTGTGTGTAGGCCTATGTCTTAGTTTTGTGTTGCAGTAACAGAACACCAGGGACTAGGCAGTTTACAAAGAATGTTGCTAGTGGAAATCTTTTCTTAAATGACTTTTATGCTTTTGGTATAAGTCCCTTAACATATGTAACTCAAACTTGTAAAAAAACTAGGAATTTTTGTTTGTTTGTTTATTTGTTTTTTGAGACGGGGTCTTGCTCTGTCACCAGGCTGGAATGCAGTGGCGCTGGCATGATTTTGGCTCACTGCAACCTCCGCCTTCCGGGTTCAAGCTATTCTCTTGCCTCAGCCTCCTGAGCAGCTGGGATTACAGGCACCCGCCAGCACACCCAGCTATTTTTTGTATTTTTAGTAGGGATGGGGTTTCACCATGTTGGCCAGGATGGTTTTGATCTCTTGACCTCATGATCTGCCTGCCTCAGGGTTTTTTTTTTTTTTTTTTTTTTTTGGTAGATCATACATGTATGTGTCAGAAATTCAAATGGCACCAAAGTATTTACAATGTGGCTCTTCTTTGCTACTTCTTGTAAGTTGTTACTATTGAGACAACTCCTTTGATCATTTTTTTCTGTAGATAGTGTCCTTCCAGAGATAGTCTATGCTTATATATATGTATTCCAATACTTAATCCCCCACCTGACTGTTTTAGATGTAATTCACAGTATATTTATTCATTTTTCAATTATTGGTCTAAAACTGAAGTGATCATTATTGATTTATGGGATTTTCTTTTTAATGATTTCAATGAATTGTTAGGCCACAGGAGAAAGGTGGTTTAACTTCTAAAGGTATAGCCTCTTCTCATATTCTCTTTAAATATATTTCTTTATGCATATACAACACCTCTCACTTCCATTTGGACTTTTTCTCCTCAGTATTTCATAAACTGATCGCTTAAGGAATAGTCATGGGACGAGAATTTTTTTATACATATCTTAATATAATATGAAATAATATTTTGGAATCGAATAAGCCTAGAGGCTTTGTCTTACCTAAAATTTAAAAAGTAACAGTCTCACTTGCTTCAGCAGCATATACACTAAAAATTGGAATGAAACAGAAGATCAGCATGGCCCCTGTGCAAGGATGGCACGCAAATTCATGAAGTGTTCCACATTAAAAAAAAAAAAATTAGCAGTTATTTCCTGGTTAATCCATTTCACATATGCTCATTATGCATAGTGAAATCGAAAGAGTTTTCTCTTCTTAAAACATGTTAAACCTAGCACTTAATATAATTTGCCAGTTAGTGCCTATACACAACCATCTGAAATGCTCTGTTTTTTAAGAAAATATTAAAGATTTCTAATTCCTTTTCAAGGCGGGATCCACAGCACCATTGTTTACTGATCAGCCAGAGGAACCTGAGTCAAACACAACGCATGGGATAGAATTATTTGAAGATAGTCAGCTAACCACTCGCTCTAAAGCAATAGCATCAAAAACCAAAGAGATTGAACAGGTGAGAATCTAGTTGTCTACATGTACATAATTTTTGTTTGTGTTGCTTTGCACATGTAAACATTTATTGAATAAATATGCTTTATTTCTTTTTCCACCTGTAACTCTAAAACTACAACTTAAAAAATTATAAAAATTATTTGAGTTGACTTCACAGTCAGTTTGATCAGCATGGTCCCCCACCTGGATTGTTTATTTTTGAATACAAAACAAACTTCTTTTTTGTAGAATATTAATATTCTAGTTAGTATGAAGCAACTAAAAATTATTAAACAATAGGGATGGGATGGAAGAAATGTTCAATACAGCAAAATGTTAGCAAATATTATTTTTGAATATTGGGATTACAGATGTTTCTTATGTTTTTCATTATACTTTAAAGTATTTTCCAAATATTAAAGAAAAAATAAAGGATACTATTTAAGTCAAGTTTTTTAGTGAAGTCATTCTGAAAAGCAAGACTTTGTTTTTAATATGCAACTATTACAGGGTTATTATTTTATGAGGATTAAATGAAGTAAATGCAAAATGTAACATTTTGTACAGGTGCTTATTGATGTAGTTGTTACTCTCTAGTGAGTTGAATAAATGTAATTACATTGCTAATAATCTGCTAAAAACTATTGGAAATTAAAAACAAAGTGAAAACTTTTTTCTAGGTGCTGTCCAATTTCCACATCAATTAAATCTGTTTTCTTTTGTTGGATAGGGAATGGTCTCAAATCCTAGATGTGACTGTGTAGCTTATGTTAATGTCACACTAATGTGAAAAGATAAGAACCAGAATAGGAAATTTGTCATGCAAACTATTGGAGTTTCAAAATGAAGGTGGTCAGCAGTATCAGATGCTTAGAGGAATATAAGCAAAATGGAAACTGAGAAAAATCTGTTTAATTTGGTTATTGGGAGGCAGTTGGTATCTTTCAAGATACCATTTAAATGAAAGCGTAAGTAAAAGGTTTGCTCAGTAGATGTATCTTTAACACAAAGATGAATGTCCTTATTTTATATAAAATTACTATCCTTTTTTTCCTTTTTTTTGTTAATAATTACTTGACATATGTTTTTATTTCCTTTTCTCCCCTTACCACAATGGATGCTCTGTGAAAACAAGGGCTTTGTTTTGTGTTGTTTTATTTACTGCTACATCTGCCATCACCTAGAACAGTATGTGTAGTAGGCTTATAAGAAATACTTGTTGGATGGATGATGGGTGGAGTCATAAACCTGCAAATGACCTTTGAGTAGTCCCTAAGTACTATATAGAATCTCACAGCCTGTTGCTCAGGCTGATCTCAAACTCCTAGCCTCCAGTGATCCTCCTATGTCAGCATCCCAAAGTGCTGGAATTACAGGTGTGAGCCACTGTGCTAAGTTGCAGTTCTTTAAAGGAGAGGTTCTCTTAAGAATATAACTGGTAGAAAAACTTGACTGAAATAACAGGGGAGAGGGATTATTTTGGGTTACCATTTATTCATTCATTCATTCGATGGAGTCTCACTGTTGCCCAGGCTGGAATGCAGTGGTGCGATCTCGGCTGAATGCAACCTCCTCCTCTCAGGTTCAAGAGATTCTCCTTTTTCAGCCTCCTGAGTAGCTGGGATTACAGGCACACACACCACCACACCCAGCTAATTTTTGTATCTTTAGTAGAGACGGGGTTTCACCACGTTGGCCAGGCTAGTCTCGAACTCCTGACCTCAAGTGATCCACCCGCCTCAGCCTCTCAAAGTGCTGGGATTACAGGCGTGAGCCACGGCGCCCAGCCTGGATTACCATGTATTAATATTTCTGCTATCTCCTATTGTTATTCATAGATGATCTATTCAATCTTGAGAAAATGGGTTACTAGTCGGGTATACAGCCTACCTTAGCAGTACACACATAAAATTATTTAGCATGAAGTCAGTTTTTGTGATACTTTATACAAATCTTGTATCTGTTTCATCTGCAAGTTTAGTTATATCTCTGTTTTCATCTGTCTGTTGTTCAAGTACATGAAAAATCTGACACGTGTTATTATGGCAAAGACAAAAAACCTAAAGAAAGAAAAATAAAGGGAAATTATTATATTCTGATGTTACTAGAAAAGTAAAACAGTTATTTGAAGTGCTATAAAATAGAGACTTAATGATGTTAAACATTGGAGTATAATGACTCTGGTTTTGCTAGGGTACTTCGCTTTTCATATGTTGACAAGAAATCAAAACAAATCCCTGTAAAATGTTAGAAAACTAGTAAATGATACATAATTATTTTATAAATTTATATCTAGAACTTGTAATTTTTGAAAATGAAAAAGTTTTACAATTTGTGTGTATGTAATTTTGATGTGCACTTTTAAACATTTTTTTTTTATGGATTAAATACCAACTAGGTAAGAAAAATTTAAAGATTTGATAAAGCCAATTATCCAGTAATTATTCTTTTTTTAATATGCTTAAAATATTTTATACTTTTTTATAAAAATAATAACACAAAAAAAGCCCAGTATGGATGTGACCAGGAAATCAAACTAGGATAATATAGAAATGTAAATATTATTGTAATACCCAAGCTGCCTTTTCTTCCTGTTTCGAGTGCAATATGTTCAAGTATTTTGTAAAGATAAATTACAATACATAATTTTGTGGGGATTTCTATAAATTGGGTCCGTCCAGTCTATTGAATCCCAAGAAAGTCATTAACTTGAGGACATATTGTAACATAAACTGAGTCTCCAGGCCAAAATTTGTTTTAACCCAAATGCCCACAGATGCCCCAGTTCTTGATGTTCAAAGGCATGTTTATGGAAGTGGATTGTATCAAAGTCACCTCAACGAAGGGGGCAAATGTATCACCGTCTCATCCCTGGGCATGTAAGAATTGTTTTAGAATTAGGGGTGCAGATGACTTTTGAAAAAGCCGCCTAGATTATAATCAGATATAACTGAGAACCCCTAGTCTAAAATCCTTAATCCAGAAAACACCAAGTTGTATCTCTGAAATATTGTATTGCTAGAGATGAGTCATTTTTAATCATTCCACTTTTATTTGAATGTCCTTTGGATATGATCCACTCTATTACAGCACAACTCACCTCCTTATGCTTTGGATCCTAAGGTGTATCTTCTTTTCTTCTCATTTTCTCAGATTATCTTCTCTTACTTCTATTGGGCTGCCTTTAACGCTCAATTATTGGGCTATTTTCGCAGGCTTTCTGGCTTCGGAGCTTAAACAAATTTCAGAATGTCTCCTGTCAGTATACTAATTCCTAGAGAGACCCAACCTACAAATTTTTGTGTGATATGTACTCTGGTTCACATGTGTGGCATTAATCCCTTGACAATGATAATCCTGCAAGCCCTCCTATACCTACTATTTGACTTGAAAGTCTATGCCACTATTTGCTATCTTACCATTGAGAAATCTTTTTTTACCACATTGCGACTTTGAACCACACAGATTGAAATCCTTCATTATCGCATACCCAACTTCCCTCTATTGCACCTCTAGAGATAAAACAATGTTTACTTTAACTCCTTTTAGTATTTAATATTTGCAAGATCCCTTATAATTTGATTAAAGTATGCTTAGTAGGGCAGTGAGATCCTTTGTTTTCCTGGGATCTAAAACATTTTTTAAAAAGTCGTTTTGTAATTTCCTACTTGAAAAGTCTAGATTAAATTCTTTTTACTGACTAGACTTGGTGGCTCATGCCTGTAATCCCAGCACTTTGGGAGGCTGAGGTGGGCAGATCTCCTGAGGTCAGGAGTTCGTGACCAGCCTGGCCAATGTGGTGAAAGCCTGTCTCTACTAAAAATACAAAAATTAGCCGGGCGTGGTGGCGCGTGCCTGTAATCCCAGCTACTAGAGGCTTACGCAGGAGAATCACTTGAACCTGGGAGATGGAGGTTGCAATGAGCTGAGATTGCGCCACTGCACTCCAGCCTGGATGACAGAGCAAGACTCCATATCAAAAATAAATAAATAGATAAATTCTTTTTTCTTCAGACGGAATCAGATAATCTCAGTAAACCTGGGGGTGTGTGTGTGTGTGTGTGTGTGTGTGTGTGTGTGTGTGTGTATGCAAATCTTATGACTAAGAGTGTTAAGGTAGCCAAAATCTTTTAAAGGCTTGACAAGTAGCGAGAAACAGTTACTTAATGAAATAACTAAGAATAGTAAGTAGCTACATTTTATTGGAATATTTTACTATGCAAACTAGTCTTGAAAAAATGAGCACCTTCTGTATCTTCATGCTCAAGCTACAGTGCTTATATTGCGATTCTCTGTCTTTGTTGTACATATTTGGAGCTTTTCAAAAGTAAAGCTTCTTGGATTTCAACCATAAATATTCTGATAAATTAAAAAATGAAAAATAAAATAAAAATATTTTAAAAAGTAAAATCCAGTAAAAAAATTATCAGAACTCTTCAAACTTGAATATGTACATAAGTGACTTGGGGATTTTGTTAAAATACAGTTTCTGACTCAGTAGATATGGGATGGGAGGTTTAGATTTTGAATTTCTCACATGCTCCCATTTAATGTTGATTCTGTTAGTCTATGATCCGTATTTGGAATAACAAGAAATTGGAAGGAAGTGACTGTTCTCTTTAATTCTGCTGTTTCTAATGTGCTAAAAGATTGAGAATGATTACCACCTTAGTATTATGAGGATTAGAGACGTTCCATCCTATATATTTTTTAACAGAAGTATAATTAATATACAATAAAATGCTTAAATCTTAAGTATTCAGTTGGATGAGTTTGTTGTTGTTGTTGTTGTTGTTTGAAATGGAGTCTCACTCCGTCGCCAAGGCTGGCGCCCAGTGGTGCAGTGTCGGCTCACTGCAACCTCGCTTTCCAGGTTCAAGCGATTCTCCTGCCTCAGCCTCCCGAGTAGCTGGTATTACAGGCATGCGCCACCACTCCTGGCTAATTTTTTATATTTTAGTAGAGACGGGGTTTCACTGTGTTGGTCAGGCTGGTCTTGAACTCCTGACCTCAGGTGATCTG